GTGGTCAGAGTTTTTGGCCATGGTGATGAGACAGTAAAAAGACACCGGCCATTTATATCTAGTCCCGGTCATGTCTTAGCCTGCGGTATGGTCAGTCCATAACAAACAGGGGTCAGATATTGTTTACTCATGCGTGTTGGTATTATAATTACCAAGCAAAAGTATTTTATTCGTAACACATTTTAGCCTTTGGTTTTCTTGATATTTTACTCACTTGAAGGATGCTACTATAGCAACATCAAATTTTGTGGAAAACGGATTTCACTGGAAATCTATACCAACATATAATTAGTTTTTTTTTATAAAGTGTAGCTTACAATAGTAAAATTACGTGTTCTTTTTTAAGTGCGAGCCTTCTGATTTCATGGAATATTGGACTTGGCGTAATCGAGTTTGTGGGAATTCCCAATAAGTAATTTGTATAGCCGTATAAAGTGTTTGTAAGTCAGTGCTATATTTAGAACGTGATATTCCCGATACAAATGTTATTGCGTGATTTCTACCGGATATTTCTCCACCTTCTGTTTCTTGGGGTGTTAGGTAAAAATAGATTTTTTATTACATCTTTTAAATACTTTCTTAAAAATTAAAAATGTGATTACTGTTTTATTGGTTATGTGAAATACTTTAACTTTACTACTGTGTGATTGTGCACATATTACAAAATGACACAAACACAAAAATTGTACTGTCGTATCACGTGACATCCAATTAACTTCTCCACAAAGTTTTAGCCAATAACATTTCCAGGATCCCTTCCCAAAAACCATCACACAATTCGAAACTTCAAGGATGAGATTTTAAAAATGGAATATGGGAACTACATCATTTTAGAGAAAACACGTGATGAATCTTTATCAATGATCGAAAACAAATGACGACAATTTTAAAATTATTTTCACCTACCCTCCCCTTTCCCATCATCATTAAAAGTAACACACACTCCTAAATGACGTCATACTTAAGAAAACATCCCCTCCCCCTTGTCAAATAGGAATTATTTTAAAGCAACAATTTCTCTCCAAGAATTTTAACTGACATTGGCCATTATTATACATTTTGGTCAATTTTAATTAATTAAAATTGACACTCATCTTTAATAATGTGAAATAACCTTTAAAATTCAGTTTAGAAGAATACCTTTTAAAATAAATCCTGAATGTCTAATCTGTATAACAATGTTAAAGCAACTATCAGACAATGTTTTTTTTTTTTTTCAAATTGAAGCAGCGCAAAGTGCAGAGGACAAATGTCCGGGTGGGGACTGCCCAGAGGACAAATGTCCTGAGGATTTGGTGAAAGTGACCCAGGGCTGTTTCACGGAGCTCTCGCAGTCCGTGCACGCGGGGGCGGTGGACGGTCACGTGACCCAGTCTGGCACCATGACGCTGGACTACACACAGATCAGGAAGTACTGCACGCAGTGAGTACACACATGGGCGCTGTGGGTAGGGGTTCAAATCCTGGCACACACAGATCAGGAAGTACTGCACGCAGTGAGTACACACACAGGTGGTAGGGGTTCGAATCCTGGCACACACAGATCAGGAAGTACTGCACGCAGTGAGTACACACACAGGTGGTAGGGGTTCGAATCCTGGCACACACAGATCAGGAAGTACTGCACGCAGTGAGTACACACACAGGGGGTAGGGGTTCGAATCCTGGCACACACAGATCAGGAAGTACTGCACGCAGTGAGTACACACACTGGGGGTGGGGGTTCGAATCCTGGCGCAGCACGCAGTGAGTACACACACGGGCGCTGGGGGTAGGGGTTCAGATCCTGGCGCAGTAGGTAGGAGGTTCAAACAACTGTACTGTGGGTAGGGGTTCAAATCCTGGCACAACAGGTATTAGTTTCAAACACATACACTGTGAGAAGGTGTTCAAATCAAGGGCGGAGTAGGTTGAAGGTTCAAACACCTACACTGTGGTTGAGGGTTTAAATCCTGGAGCAGTAGGTAGGAGGTTCCTGAAATTGAACCATTCTGCTAGTGGGTCATCTATTTCTGATGATGAATAAAAATCTTGATTTTAGACACAACACCCTTCCCCCCCCCTTTTTTTTTCCACCTGTGGTCCTAAAGTGATTGATTTTTTTCACTATATTTCTCTTTTTTTTAATTAAAAAAAAGCGTTATGCATTTTTTTATAATGAGCGCTTGTTTTTTTTTAATGGATTTTTTCCATATTTAAACCAACGACTGATTGAGGGTATTCAAAAAAAAAAATGTCAGACATGAAAAGAAGATTTCAAATTATTATTTCATGTGGTTGGACGCAGTGACCCATAAAATCATTACACCACATCAAGTTCATTACCCTAATTGGTTTACTTACAACAGAAGAAAGAATTTTAAAGGAATTTTATTTTAATGCTCTGACGAGCAGAATACAATCCCCTCTCTCCTCGTGTGGACATAATGAATAGACGACCCGTTGTCCGTTACCCTAGCCTAGCAGTTTAAAAATTTGACGTTATCAGTTCTTAACTTGATACAAATGAATTAGAATTCTCAGATTGGAAAATACGCAACGGAAAACAGCACAAAAACAAAAATGCGCTTAGAAAATTTATTTTTAATCGAGCTTTTAATGACAGCAAAAAAAAAAAATAAAAAAAAATCACCAGATATGCACTGTTGCATAATAAGACAATTTTCCACCTATAATGGCAAAATTAAAGTGCATTGCTAGGCCTATAATAAATATGATTTTTACATTTTTCTGGGAACCTCTCAGATTACCCATAGTACTTCATTATTATATCTGATGTGTAAGTAAGAGCCCGGTTAGCTCAGTCGGTAGAGCATCAGACTTTTAATCTGAGGGTCAAGGGTTCAAGTCCCTTATCGGGCGAGATAATTTTTTTAATTCGTATCATTATTTTCCCCATTTTTCTTTGCAGAATTGTTTCCAAATTAATTTTTCATTTTCTTAATCATATTTTTTTTAAAATTGTAATTTTTTAAAATACGAAAAAAAAAATAAAAGTCCGTCCCTGGGTGGGCTTGAACCACCAACCTTTCGGTTAACAGCCGAACGCGCTAACCGATTGCGCCACAGAGACTGGTGTCCCTACTCTCCATTTTTTCCAAATCGTTTTATGTTGGAGAAAGAAGGTTACGTCGGTGATGTCCGTGATGTCCGTGGAAAGGTGGGTGGGGAGAGGAGGCAGTAAAGGGGGGAGGGGGGGGGGGGGGGAAGGTCTGCTTGTGCTGGATTAGCGTGGAGCACTTTGTGGGCTGTGAACTCAGTGATTAGTCTTCAGTCAACAAAGGGAAATTATCATCAAGATGTTTTTATCGTCAGTCTATGCTGTGTACACAAAAACCCACCAAAAGAAGGTTTTTTTTTCGGGGGAGGTCACTCGTCCTTTACAAACAAGGAAAGCAGACGTCACTCGAGTATAAATCTATATATATAATTCTCTTCTGGGAGACGCTAGAAAACAAGCTGTAAACGCGCTCCCTACCAGCCCCACTCCTAAATGGTCTGGTGAGCTGTGGTTCACTCTAAATGTTTACAAACAGAGCCGGGCTTAGTGACGACTATTAGGGGCAGATAATTTAGTTTGAAACGATTTTAAACGTGGGGGGGGGGGGGGGTGGTAACTAAGTGGAGTTTACTTTAACGGAAGGGGGAAAGAAGGGGGGTTTATCGTCCTTAACGAGCTTCTGATAGTGTTTTAAAGCAAATATTTTCAGTGGCAGCGTTGTTACTGTCGAATTCACAAATTATGAATTACTGAAAAGTAGAAAAAACAACAACTAAATAGAGGCGTATGATACGCCGTGGGTCGGCTCGTTACGTCATATTTTAAAAAGAAACGCGTTTTAAAGCATGTACTTTATCATTTTTTATATTACACTTTTATCTTACCGATTACAATTTTATCTCAAATCTAATAAGAAATGTACTTCTCCTAAAGGATCGAAGCCTACAGATATTAAATAGTACAAAACGGATAAGGAGAGGCGGACGTAGCCTATGTGAAATATTGATTTACTATGCGTTTTGTAATTTTATCCAGAGGCGTAGCGAGGGTGGGGGGGGGGGGGCGGGGGGGACATATGCACCCGGGCGCCAACCTCAGGGGGGGGGTGCCAAATTGAAGGTTTGAGGGGGGGTGCAAAGGAAAAGTTCGAGGGGGGGGGTGCAAATCGAAAGTTTGAGGGGGGTGCAAATGAAAAGTTCGAGGGGGGGTGCAAATCGAAAGTTTGTCCCCGGGCGCCGGGAAGGGTCGCTACGCCTCTGATTTGATCCGATTGGATGAATATTTTCATACAATTGGTTTAGTTCTATAGCATCCTTTACTTTGAACACATTTTAGTACGTTTAAGGCGCTCCAATTTTTCTAAGATATAACGAGCAATTTTTTTTCTAAAATTACGAGATTGTAATTCTCATCTTTTAATAGCCCTATCACATGGTATCTTGGGGGGGGGGGGGGGGGGTCCTATTTTTGCTACTTAATAGGTGTTGATCTATGTACATGTTATACAACATAATATGGAGGAAGTCTGAATAGAATCTAATATATGATTATAGTATTAGCCCGCCCCCTAAACGTATATGGTATGACCAGTGGCGTAGCTAGGATTTTTGGGCCCTATGCAAAAAGTGTTAGTGGGCCCTTCAGATGCGTAGCGACCCTTCCCGGCGACCGGGGTCAAACTTCCGATTTGCACCTCCCTCCCTCAGACTTTCGATTTGCAACCCCCCCTCAAACTTTCGATTTGCACCCCCTCCCCCTCAGACCTTCGATTTGCACCCCCCCCCCCCACCCCGCCTTCAAACTTTCGAAAAAGGGCCCGTTTTTGCCTTGGGCCCATATGCCTTGCTTACGCCAGCTTTACGGTAGCTACGCCACTGAGTATGACCACTGGCAGCATGGTAGCCGCTGGTCTGGTAAGGGTCAGCCTGAGGGTCACGTGGACAGCCCCACCTGTTGTTGATTGGTCAAGCTCCGTGTCTGTGTGTTTCAGGGACGGTCACATGACCCAGTTCGTCACGTGCGTTGAGAATCTCGTGGCCCAGTGCCGGAACACGAGCCAGGCGCTCGTGCTGGACAGACTGGTCAACCCAAACAGGGTCAAGGCCGCTCTCCCCATCCTGTGTGAGCGACAAGACGGTAGGTCCTCAATGTTGTATCTGTGGTCTGTTTCGTTGTATGAACTAAATAGCCTGTTTCGTTGTACGAACTAAATAATCTGTTTCGTTGTACGAACTAAATAAACTGTTTCGCTGTATGAACTAATTAATATGTTTCGTTATACGAACTAAATAATCTGTTTCGTTGTACGAACTAAATAATCTGTTTCGTTTTATGAACTAAATAATATGTTTCGTTGTACGAACTATATAATCTGTTTCGTTGTACGAACTAAATAATCTGTTTCGGTGTATGAACTAATTAATATGTTTCGTTGTACGAACTAAATAATGTTTTGTTGTATGAACTAAATAATCTGTTTCGTTGTACGAACTAAATAATATGTTTCGTTGTACGAACTAAATAATCTGTATTGTTATACTAACTATTTTCCGTTGTGCAAACTGAAAAATTCTGTCTGCTTTACTAAAGAACTACTCATAGGGACGGCGTGGTCAGATGGTAGCGCTTACGGCTGCTTGCTTGTAAGTCGCATCACTGGCTCGAGCATATAGAACGTCCCTCAGTCAAACAGCTCTTGCATGCATTGAACATTGACCACTAAGTTATTTTCGCATGTGTTGACCATTGACTAGCCTGTTATTCTTGACCATTGACTAGCCTGTTATTCTTGACCATCGACACAGAGGCGTAGCGACCCTTCCCGGCGCCCGGGGACAAACTTTTCGATTTGCACCCCCCCCCCCTCGAGATTTCCATTTGCACCCCCCCCCCCCCTCAAACTTTCGATTTGCACCCCCCTCAACCTTTCTATTTACTTTTCCAACCCATTTTGGCGACCCCTAAGGTCGGCGCCCGGAACATATGTCCCCCCCCCCCCGCCCCCCCCCCTCGCTACGCTACTGCATCGACAAACCAGTTATTATGGACCATCGACTTGCCAGTTATTCTTGACCATCGACAAGCCAGTTATTATGGACCATTGACTTGCCAGTTATTCTTGACCATCGACAAGCCAGTTATTATGGACCATTGACTTGCCAGTTATTCTTGACCATCGACTAGCCAGTTATTCTTGACCATTGACTACCCAGTTATTCTTGACCATTGACTAGCCAGTTATTCTTGACCATTGACTAACCAGTTATTCTTGACCATTGACTTGCCAGTTATTCTTGACCATTGACTTGCCAGTTATTCTTGACCATCGACAAGCCAGTTATTATGGACCATCGACTTGCCAGTTATTCTTGACCATTGACTAACCAGTTATTCTTGACCATTGAATAGCCAGTTATTCTTGACCATCGACTTGCCAGTTATTATGGACCATCGACTTGCCAGTTATTCTTGACCATCGAATAGCCAGTTATTCTTGACCATCGACTTGCCAGTTATTCTTGACCATTGAATAGCCAGTTATTCTTGACCATTGAATAGCCAGTTATTCTTGACCATCGACTACCCAGTTATTCTTGACCATTGACTTGCCAGTTATTCTTGACCATTGACTTACCAGTTATTCTTGACCATTGACTTGCCAGTTATTCTTGACCATTGACTACCCAGTTATTCTCGCATGTGCTGACCCCTGCCTGACCTCTCCATGTCCAGATATCCTTGCCTCGGGTGAGTGTATGAACAAAGTCATGGGACAAGACTCCGAGTGCAAGAACCAGGCCTACGAGAAGATCAAAACGGAAATGTCCAAATCGATGAGAAATGTCACGGCGACTTTTTACATTCAGTGCAGGTAAGATTAAACCATCACAAAACTCAATCAACCTTTAAAATAACCCAAGTCGTTTTAAAATTAGTGATCTGTCTCAAGTATGGAAATGTGTGGAACTAAATTATGGTCGCATGTCACATAAACAGGTAGTAAATGGAAGACTTTCTTTTAAAAGTATTTTTAAAAGCATCTATTTAACACTGCCAAAAGCACCAATTTGACACCGTTCAATGTATCAATGACACTGTATTGCCGAACAGGTATTTAGAAAAAAAATGTTTCTTCCTTTACGTTTGCACTTTTTAAGTGTAATTACATAATGGATAAGTATAATTCCTTCAAGCCGGGCGGTAGAGCGATCAACTGCTAAACAGGGCAGGCCCTACCTATAGGGCGAACTAGGCGGTCGCCTAGGGCACCATCCCTAGGGGGGGGGGGGGCGTAAAATGTTTGATCGCTACTATAAAAAAAGTCCCTAATAATTAATAACTTTTATAAAGGAGTAGCGATCTACTCCCAGGACGAACTATTAATTTTGCACCCCCACTCCAAAATTAGGTCTATATAGGCGTATATTTATTCGCGATGGTGAAAATGCAACCCCACCTCCCTAATACTGGAAAGGTCGGGGTGCTTTTTACCAGTCATTTTGCCTTTTTAATTTGGTGTCACATAATTGATGAAGAAAACGATTAAATAAATTCGTAGTTTAAATTTCGAACATTTCAAAAGGTTATCTAAGGGCTTGTAAGTCTCGTCCCCCCCCCCCCCCCCCCCGAAGAGATGCCTGGAAAAAACTCTGAGTGAAATCGTTGTTGATTTGGAGTATCGTTTGTAGAGCTTGGTAAAGTTAAGCGAGTTGGTGTCGTAGTTCTGGAGCATTGAGTCTAGTTATGTTTAGGTATCGAAGTTTGATATGTGTTGTGAATGTAGTAGAGTATATTGAGTAGCCGAGTTTATCGTAAGTTAGATTATTTCAATTTAGTACGGAACACACTACAACGAAAGGTGGGCGTTCTCTAGTTGAAAAATCTTTAGTTTTTTAGGAATCTATATTACCACTCTTAAAGCACTAATATATACTATTAAATAGGATGGAATTTATAACTAACTGTAAACTTTGTTTTGTCAAATTATAATTTTTTTTTATATTTAATCAGTAATTCTAGCATTGTCTAAAACAGCGGTCGGCAACCTTTTGAGACGAAAGAGCCAAAAGTTCCAATTTACAACCTTACCCGGTTTTTAAAGAGCCACTAACATCTTTATGTCAATAGTATATTTGTTTACGATTATATATATATATATATATATATATATATATATATATATATATATATATATATATATATATATATATATATATATATATATATATACATATATATATATATAATTTAAATATATATGTAATAATCTCATTTGAATTTGTGCTGTGATGAGGATCTACTATGTAAGTCAGGGTACTTGCATTTGTTTTGAATAGCTCAAATCTCTCAGCGAAAACATCCTTCATTTTGTTTATATTAATGTTGAAGTGATTGAATAGTAGCATTGGTTTCATAACGATATTGTTTTTCAGATTTTCCGTTATTAAATAATTTACCGCTCATCATGTATTTAACAAAAAAGTATTTTTTTTTCTAAACAAACCACTTCTTCAAGAAATACATAGGCTGGGTTTTTCCTTTCAGTTTTACACTTGGCTGGTTTAGTTTCTTTGTGATATCCAGTATGAAGTTGAATGTTTCAATTCGGAATGGACAACGTAATAGGAAGTAGATTGAGATAGGGAGAAACTAAATATTCTAATATAATAGTGAATGTTTATTGTTTATATCTATTGTTATATCGTTTATTACCGAGTGTTGTAGACTAATATTTTTATGAGTTTTTAAAAATAAAATAAAATAATTATTAATATTTGTACATGGAGCTAAAGAGCCGCAACTGGACACCAAAAGAGCCGCAGGTTGCCGACCCTTGGTCTAATACAGGGGTCGGCAACCTGCGGCTCGCGAGCCGCATGCGGCTCTTTTGATATCAAGATGCGGCTCTCCAGCTCCTTGAACAAATACTAATAATCTTAATAAAAAAATAAAATATATGAAATAAAAAAATATTAGTGGCTCTTTAAAACCAGGGAAATTTTGAAAATTGTAACTTATGGCTCTTCCGCTTCAAAAGGTTGCCGACCCCTGGTCTAATACAGTTGCCCGCGTTAGATTTTCTAAAAGACGTCCCTTAATTAGGGGATCCAAAATTTTCTATTATCGATGTATAAATTTAGCATTAAATGTACATGTCATCAAAATTGAATAGAAGTATGTTGTAATAAAGCTACCGTTTTTAGACTTTCAAATATAACCTAGAGTTAAGCATTCAATAGGTAAAATGTAGTGTTTTTAACAAGATTACATAGCTAATGTAAAACGTGTGTTATAATTATTACGTAATAAAATTTAAAGCGTATTATGGTGTTTTTCAAACATGTCTTAGTTACACTTAATTAATTTAGCTATTCTTTATGAAAGTTCATTCCCTTGAATAAAATTTTGTTATTAGGATTTTCAAATGGGAGATAATTCGTTGCTTAACTTTACATTCCTTTCAAATTCCTGCACCTCAGGTTGACCGCTTACATATAAATACAACTTTAAGTTATTATTTGCTATTGTAAAAATTATATAGAGCTTAAGTTTTAAACAAAATAGTTTGGTAGTTATTTTTAGCATTATCAAGTTGAAAAACAAATATATCAGTAGCCGTTGTAGATTGCAATACTTAATGTTATTAGACAAACAGTCTTAGTCATAAATTAAACATCTAATTAATTGTCTTTTCATATTTTTCACCCTCACCTAAAGGATTTATATATAACAATTTTAGGCTGGAATCTATAACATTTATAATCTTTTATTTTTCAAAAACTAAAAAATCGTTACATAATCACACAATATAGACTTTTTACAATTATAACTAAAGACAGTCAACCTTCAAAGAGGTAAGTTCCGTTTTGGAACTCACCTTGTAAAGGACTGCAGAGAGCCCAACAATACAAGAACTTTTTTTTTTCAACGTTTTTTTTCCAGACTTTTTTCTCCCGGGAGGGGGGGGGGAAGCACTTAAAATTTTCTGGGGGCGGGGGGGGGGGGGGACTTAGCAACAATTTCAATAAAATGTAATTACGCTTGCAAACTGGAATTGAAGGAATTAGTACAAACTTTTGAGACGAAGGAGGCAAGTACAATTTGATTTTGATGTCTACGTATAACGTGCATGCAATTGATAATAAATTAATACGTCACTTTTAATTAATTGTTTTCTTATACATATGTTTTAGTAATTAATTTGTGTGAAAGGGGGCGTCTTAATAAGTTTTGCCTAGGGCGCTAAATAACGTGGCGCCGGCACTGCTGCTAACCCGAACGGACTCGAGTTTGTTTTACATTCCTGATATCACCTAGCTCTGTTGGGTGCCTGATTTATATTAGGAAAAATAAAGGCGTCTGGGCAGTGGCGTAGCGAGGTCGGGTGTCACCCGGTGCGGCACTTAATGGTATCACCCCCCCCCCCCCCCCGCGCCCCCTCAAACTTTCGATTTGCACCCCCCCCCCCCTTTTCAAGTTTTCCTCTATATATTTTGCAATTTTTTTGCCTTGGTGTCACCCCCCTAAATGGTGTCACCCGGTGCGTTCCGCCCCCCCCCCCCCCCCGCCCACCCCCCTCGCTACGCCCCTGCGTCTGGGCATTGCGTTGATCAAATTCCTTCAAGACAGAGATGATTATTACTTCATCTGCCCAATGGACCGTCAGACTGAATTGATAACTTTACTTTTTATGTTTTAACTTTAATTGCTTTTTTTCCCCCTTCCCAGCTTCTTCAACTCGCTGGCGGCCTGTCAGAGGGACGCCCTGTCCGAATCTTGTGGCCACGGTCTGGGGGAACTCCACGCCCAGTTCCTGCTCTCGTTCATCCCCAGCTCGTGTGCTCAGAGTTATCCCCCGTCGGCTAAAAATAAAACGGCGCCACCCAGCAACGACACCGGTAGCGACGTCACAGCCACCACTACACACGCTGACGTCACATCCGGCAGCACGCCCCAGACGTCTGACACACTGACCCAGCCATCGCGCAAGACACACGTGATCGCCAAGAAGAAGTCAGGCAACACAGCTGTTGGTTTACACACAACATGGGCCCATTTGTGGCAACTGCTTTTATCTTTAGGGCTAATATTAAAAGCGTTGTAGGTCTGGTATATGTGTGTGTGTGTCTGTTTGTTTTTGATAGATTGGTTTATATATACGATACTTTCAATGATAGCCGATACAGCAGTTAAAATAGGCCACACTATACGGAGAAAAAAACGCAGTTACAAAAAAGCAACGAAACAACAACAACAACAACAAAAAACCAGTTGAAGTTACATTCATCTAGGAGACGAAAAAAATGATATTAAATTCGTCAAATTTTGTCAACTTTCAACTGCTCGGAGACCCTAAATTGATTAATCGTTTTCTATATTTAAGCTTATATTTCAATCAACTTCATCCCTATATTATATCATAAATTTTGTTTTTTTTCGCTACAGCAAAATCTACACACACCACTTTTAGTAACACATTCCGATGATAGGGGAGGTAATGGTTCCGTATTTCATGTAGGTTATACATCTTGTTATTTCCCTTTAATATGCAATTTCTGAAAGAGTAACCAGTTTATAAGCTGTTATTTATTTGCTTTATTATGTCAATCCATTAGTGATTTTAATTGAACCCCACTAAGGTTGTATGACTCATCATACGGCGTGTGGGTGGGGGGAGGGGGAGTGGGGGCGTATAATAAAATACACCAGTGGGTGCCCTATTGGGAAGGGAGCGGAGGGGGGATGCTGAGAATACTACTGACGCGGTGTTGTGACAAAATGTTTTTTTTTTGGTTTACTTTGTTATATTTTTTGTCTGAGACAATTAAAAAAAACTGATACAGAATTAAAAAAAAAAAACAAAAAAAAAAAAACGAATCAACAAATCTAATGTAGCCTGTCAAAGTCAGACTTTTGATGTGTGAGGTTCGAGTCCATGAGTCAGCTATTCTATTTTTGAGCGTGTCTGTGCTTTGTGTACATTTTAATATGGTGCAAGCTTTTCTTTTATGTAGTACTTAGCCAATGGTTTATTTACATTTATTAAACAATAACCGTATGTGTTCGCAAATATAGATATATGCAAATGGTGTGATTTAAGAAGAAAACTACATCTTATCGATATATGTATACATATATATGTGTGTGTGTGTTGTGTGTGTGTGTAAGTGTATATGTGATTTCAGAACTTGTAAGATTGTTACCTTGTGTCAAATAACACAATACCGACACCTTCAATGTGAACGTCCCTGGATGGTTTTGAACCACTACCCGTTGATTGTGTCTCAAAGACTCTTGTAATTAATTATTGTTGCAATTAATAAAAAACAAAGGTTTTCAATCCGACGTGACGGACATGAATCTCGACAACCTGATCAAGCTCTCGTCAATTACTCACTGCACGTGATGTTGTGTTTTTGGCTGACCCTAGTTGTACTCAAACATGAATTGAAAGACATTTTTTTGTAACTTTTATTTTGGGTTAATCTATTAAGATTTTATTTTTATGACATGTGAGTGCATTTTAACGTTGTGAATTCTGTATTAAATTTGAGATTCTGAAATCATGGTTTCTCTTTAAAGAGGTTCTGTTTTACTTTCGTATTTAGCCAACATTTTCTGCTCTAGTTATGTGTTGTTTTGATCATCTGTGATGGATGCGTGAGAAAAAAAAAATTTCCCATGCCGGGAATCTAACCCGGGCCGCCTGGGTGAAAGCCAGGAATCCTAACCACTAGACCACATGGGAGTTACTTGGACAGTAGATTAACCCAATAATTTTGAGCCTAAATCCGCTCTAACAATACTGGTCTAGCTCATGAGTCACATAAGTAAGACTAAGGACACAAGAAATATTGGAAATATTGCTATTTATAAATCGGTATAAGTATAACAGCAGCAGATGTAGGCCGCTCTAAATATAGGGGGGAGGGGAGGAGAGAGAATGTAAGAAAGGAGAAGATATTAGTAGCGGGGGGTGGGGGGGTATTAGCTTACTTATTTTTTAACGTTGGCATCTTTCAAAGCTTTCTTAAGTTGTAATATGCTATAATGAATTTCTATTAGGTTAACAAAAATATTTCATTAAAACTTACAGTAAAAGAAACCATCAAAATGTTAAATTAATGGTGCGATCGAGGTCAAGAATTTTACTGATAACTACGAGGAAAAAATATCGTCCCTGGGTGGGCTTGAACCACCAACCTTTCGGTTAACAGCCGAACGCGCTAACCGATTGCGCCACAGAGACAGATATCAGTTTAAAGAATTTAATCAACTAGATGAAATGTGATTCTGACGACCAATGGTCGACGAGCATGATAACAATCTACTTGTCAATGCAGTCTATCATCGTTCATGATTTCTTTTGTTTGGGACACACGTCATGTAGGTCATGTGACTTCCGCGTAAGCTGCCTCGTTCTCACTACTAATAAGGGGGTCGTCCATATATGACGTCACTCCCGTAGGGGGAGGGGTGGTCCGAAATTTCAGGACGGTGTTTGATGAGGGGGGGGGGGGGTCAGATGGTGTGACGTCACACTTTTGCAATGTTAGAAAACGAGTTTTAGCCGTTATTTAGCGTTTTAGAAAACTGTTTTAATAAATAATAATAGGAACTGATTAAGATACTTTATGATGAGTTCACACAAGTTTTTGGAAAAAATCGATGTTTAAAAAAAAAATTCAACTGGAATTGTGAGGGGGGTTGTAGGCTGAGGTATGACGCCATTTTAGAGGGGGGGGGGGGTCAGGCTTTTTGTGCTATCTGTCAGTGTATCAAGTGCTATTTGTGTCATCCACTACATCAAGTGCTACCTGTGTCATCCACTACATCAAGTGCTACCTGTGTCATCCACTACATCAAGTGCTACCTGTGTCATCCACTACATCAAGTGCTACCTGTGTCATCCACTACATCAATTGCTACCTGTGTCATCCACTACATCAAGTGCTACCTGTGTCATCCACTACATCAATTGCTACCTGTGTAAGCCATTGCATCAAGTGCTACCTGTCATCCACTACATCAAGTGCTACCTGTGTCATCCACTACATCAAGTGCTACCTGTGTCATCCACTACATCAAGTGCTACCTGTGTCATCCACTACATCAAGTGCTACCTGTGTCATCCACTACATCAAGTGCTACCTGTGTAAGCCATTGCATCAAGTGCTACCTGTGTCATCCACTACATCAAGTGCTACCTGTGTCATCCACTACATCAAGTGCTACCTGTGTCATCCACTACATCAAGTGCTACCTGTCAACCACGCCCAGGTAGCCTAAGTGCCGTGTTTACCTGTGTATTATGTAGAGAGTTCACTAAGTGGACATGCAGGTGAGATAAGGTGAGAGATTTACCTGGATTTGGTACCTGAGTCCCAGATAAGCGGAGAGGAGCATGTCTATGGAGACGATCTTTGGGGGCGTTGGGGGGATATGATGTGTTTATAATTTTAAACCTAGCAATGGGTAGTCGGGTCACAAAAAGTGTATGAAATCTAAATAACTTCATCCCCCCCTTCCACCACTCACCCACATCCATTGAAAGAGAATGGTTAACAATAGTCGAAATCGATGATTTTAAAAAAAAAACCGTTACAATGTCTGTAAATCCTATTGTACAAGGTCCTTTAGTAGATCTAAACAAGTAGGACAGTCCTTCAGTAAACAAGTAGGACAGTCCTTCAGTAAACAAGTAGGCAGTCCTTCCGTAGATCTAAACAAGTAGGACAGTCCTTCAGTAAACAAGTAGGACAGTCCTTCAGTAGATCTAAACAAGTACGTCAGTCCTTCACTAACAAGTAGGACAGTCCTTCAGTAGATCTGAACAAGTAGGCAGTCCTTCAGTAGATCTAAACAAGTAGGACGGTCCTTCAGTAGGTCTAAACAAGTAGATCAGTCCTTCCGTAAACAAGTAGGACAGTCCTTCAGAAAACAAGTAGGACAGTCCTTCAGAAAACAAGTAGGACAGTCCTTCAGTAGATCTAAACAAGTAGGACAGTCCCAGTAGGTCTAAATAAGTAGGTCAGTCCTTCAGTAAACAAGTAGGACAGTCCTTCAGTAAACAAGTAGGACAGACCCAGTAGTAAGTAGGACAGTCCTTCAGTAGATCTAAACTAGTAGAACAGTCCTTCAGTAGATCTAAACAAGTAGTACAGTCCTTCAGTAAATGTACACCAGCAGGACCCAAGAGTCCTACATCAGTCCTATAGGTAGGACACTGCAGTTTTTGAGCAGAACTGAACAAGCGCGAGCTAATTTCACCATCCGCACGGCAACCACTTCCGGTAGGTATCGACTTATCACTTCCGGTAGGTATCGACACATCAATCATAGCGGGCTAATTTAGTAACCTCGTCAGATTCATTGCACGTTAGTCGTGGACGATATCGAGTACAAATCATTTGAACGATTCCGTGTTAGCGTATAATAGATTCTCGCATTGACACTACCCTTCTTGTTATAATGTAGGGGGTGGGGTGGGAAGGTACAGGGAATTGGGATTTGTAACAGGTAATGAGATCGAATTTGATTGAAAAAGTCTTCGATTATGTCCGCTCGGGCAAAAACGTGTCGACCCGCAGCGGGAGAGGTAATCGACACGTAAGTTTGACGTCAGCGCTAGGGCTGGTAGAAAAAACATTGCGTTTTTTTGGGTGTATAAGAAAAGTTTTTGGATGTATAGGAGAAGTTTTCATTTTTATGGTGTATAGTGTATATGAAAAGTCTTCATGTTTTTGGGTGTATAAGAAAAGTTTTTGGATGTATAGGAGAAGTTTTCGTTTTTAGGGTGTATAGTGTATAAGAAAAGTCTTCATGTTTTTGGGTGTATAAGAAAAGTTTTTGGATGTATAGGAGAAGTTTTCGTTTTTAGGGTGTATAGTGTATAAGAAAAGTCTTCATGTTTTTGGGTGTATAAGAAAAGTTTTTGGATGTATAGGAGAAGTTTTCGTTTTTAGGGTGTATAGTGTATAAAAAAAGTCTTCATGTTTTTGGGTGAATAAAAAAGTCTTCATGTTTTTGGGTGTATAAAAAAGTCTTCATGTTATTGGGTGTATAAAAAAGTCTTCATGTTTTTGGGTGTATAAAAAAGTCTTCATGTTATTGGGTGTATAAAAAAGTCTTCATGTTTTTGGGTGTATAAAAAAGTCTTCATGTTTTTGGGTGTATAAAAAAGTCTTCATGTTATTGGGTGTATAAAAAAGACTTCGTGTTTTTGGGTGTATAAAAAAGACTTCATGTTTTTGGGTGTATAAAAAAGTCTTCATGTTATTGGGTGTATAAAAAAGACTTCGTGTTTTTGGGTGTATAAAAAAGTCTTCATGTTTTTGGGTGTATAAAAAAGTCCTCATGTTTTTGGGTGTATAAAAAAGTCTTCATGTTTTTGGGTGTATAAAAAAGTCTTCATGTTTTTGGGTGTATAAAAAAGTCTTCATGTTTTTGGGTGTATAAAAAGTCTTCGTGTTTTTGGGTGTATAAAAAAGTCTGACGTGTTTTTGGGTGTATAAAAAAGTCTTCGTGTTTTTGGGTGTATAAAAAAGTCTTAATGTTTTTGGGTGTATAAAAAAGTCTTCATGTTTTTGGGTGTATAAAAAAATCTTCATGTTTTTGGGTGTAGAAAAATGTCTTCGTGTTTTTGGGTATACGAAAAAAAAATGTGTTGAACTAAATTATGATCGCATGTCACATAAACAGATAGTAAACGGAAGACTTTTTAACTCTGTTAATCCTTTGATGATTGTTACAACCTCAATTAGGATAGACTGGTTGTCCAAGATCCAGAATACGGATGTTACAAGTTTTTGAAAACAATGTGTACATGAAATAAAAAGTAGTCGGGCACATTTTTAGAAATAGTACCCGCAAACATACAAACTCAGAAACACATAGAAACACAAGCAAAAAAAACCACACACACGCACAGATAGACACACAAGCAAAAAAAAAACCACACACACGCACAGATAGACACACACATTTACATGCACACACATACACACACACACTTCCCTACACCCAAAGACACACAAACGCCTGACCCCAGGGGAACTGCCCACATGGCAAACCAAGTGTAGCGTGATGTAATTTAACGGATGACTTTTTGATTGGCTTATTGATTCAATCAAGCTATCGAGTGGGTACTTGAGTCAAGTTCAAGGGCGGATAAGTTGCCTTTAAAATGCTGCTAATCAAAATTATGATTTTTTTTAGAAATGATAATACATTTTTTTGGCGCCAAGTTGTTTTCCTGCATGATTGTATTGCAGCGGGCGAGATAAAGGACACGAGAAAATAGAGCGCTGACCACAGGTCACCAAAACTTGTCTCACATTAGCCTTTCAGTACAGGTCACCAAAACTTGTCTCACATTAGCCTTTCAGTACAGGTCACCAAAACTTGTCTCACATTAGCCTTTCAGTACAGGTCACCAAAACTTGTCTCACATTAGCCTTTCAGTACAGGTCACCAAATCTTGTCTCACATTAGCCTTTCAGTACAGGTCACCAAAACTTGTCTCACATTAGCCTTTCAGTACAGGTCACCAAAGCTTGTCTTGAAACTAGTGCCACACAAGTATAAAAAAGATATGTGTTTATAAGGTGAAACAATTTTCCATCACAGTACTCTCCGTTCCATTCTGAAACTGGTTAAAACCGTTAGATTGACTTGCGTATAAAGCACGTCGCTTTTCTAGAGGGCATCTGGTCTTCTAAGACTGACCTTTGTTTGAGAGTAAGTTCACTTGGGTAACGGTATTAGGTCAGCAACATCAAGGGGTCAATCAAGCATGACCCACTATTGTCTTGAAGTCAGTCAACCGTGACTGTTGTTCTGAAAGCTAATGTAGACATGAGTTCACAAGGTACCCTATAGACACACACACAATGAACATCAGACATCTGAAGTTGTGCCGCACTTTTAACTCCCCCTTTCATCCCCCTCCCCTCCGTCACTTAATGACCTACTGCATACCCATCCGCGAGACCTTGAAAGGGCGGAGCTTGAACCGGAAGCTGTCACCATCTCGCCATCTTTGATGTTTTGTGAACTCCCGACGTTCTGAAGTTTGCAGGCTTAAAAGTTTTGATGTGGTACTAATAAAATCATCAGCGTAAACAACTCGTTCAAGGCCATCAAGATCTCAGGGGCGGCACCCAGAACAACCTAGAAGGGGCAACAGTCACTCGCGCTGAAAGTATTCACAAACGAAAACAAATCTGAAATTTTTGTAATCGATGGCATAAAACGGACGTAGAAATGTTTTTAATTGTGTGCAATGTTATTGAACCATGTGTGCTGTGATGGTACCAATTGTATACACATACGGTTATAATTTTCTAATTAATGTAGATAACTAATCAAATCTTTGGGCAAAAAGCCACACCAATTTCGTCATAATAACGTTCATAGTATGTATAAATATTTCCCGGCATAGCGGTGTGACATTTAGTTCATTGTCCCAATTAAATAATTGCCAATCAAAGGTGATTTAAGCTATAAATGTCAAGGTGTGGTGTTTAAAAGTAAGCAGAAGTGTAATTTCAAAGTAAAATTATTTATTTCTCTTGCTCTTTGTGTTTTATTTTTTTTATTATTTACATTTTAAAAAAATAACTGTATAAAATTTGAAAGCTACAATTCCAATATTTTTATAAGTGTAAGGTTGTTCAGACGATGAAATATATTTTAAAATCACAGGTTTTTGTCCAACTCAACACAAATGATCGACTCATTCTCATGATGGCTGGTGCTGGTATTGTGGTGATTCTTACATTGGCTGATTATGGCTGACTATAATGGGAAACTGTCTATTATGAAGCTATGGGCTATACAGTATTCCCTTATAAACAATACACTTTTTTATTTACTGATCAAGTTATAGGTTGTTAACGAACCTAATTCTCTGATTTTGTCCGAATGAATAGCGTGGGTGTTTTTAACTTCTTGCTTTCTCGTGTGGGTGCTGCGTTGTAGTAACGCTATCTGGAGCCAGGATTAAGGGGGCCCTTACAGCTATGGCCCTAATCTGACAGGGCCCCCTAAAGCCTGGGTCCAGTTCATGATCCTACTCTAGCCGCAGTTTCTCTCAACCCATGTGTTAATCCGCTATTATCAAAGTGTATTTTAAATTAATCCCAACCCGTAAGTTTTATGACTAACATTTGCTATCCATGGGGCAGGTGAAGTAGAGTTCGCCGTCCCTTGGTTTGTGTAGCTATCTATTTATTCGAGAGAACTGAAGACATAACCACGGCTCATATGGTTTCTCCAATGGGACACGCCTGTTCAGGGGGGGGGGGGGGGGGGGGGCAGACGTTTTCCCAGTAGACACTTGCCCAAATGCGACAAATGCCTGAATGGACACTTGCCCATTCGGACTAACGGCCTTCGGGCAAACGGCATTTGAGCAAACGGCATTCGGGCAAACGGCATTTGGGCAAGTGTCTTTCGGGAATTTGTCGTGAACCCCATGTACAAGGCCTGAAGTATCAAACAGTCCCAATGTAATTATTTTTTTTATATTTTTGACGAGGGGTAGGAACAGCCAATAGAAACTGTTCGTAAATCGAAAGTGTTGAATATCTTTGTGTATACACGTCTCACTCTATCGTACCATCAGTTGGTGTCAGAGTTTCTTCCAGGCATCTCTTCGGGGGGGGGGGGGGGGCTAAGCCCCCCCGAAAAAGTTTTACCGCCCCTCCCCCCCGAAAATTTCAAGTGCCCCCCCCCCCCCCCCCGGAGAAAAAAAGTCTGGAAGAAACACTGGTTGGTGTGTTGTGACAGATATCAATGTATTCAATCTTCTTACTTCCAGTGTCAGTGTGTATATTGAAATGCCTATTTAGTACATTCCTGTAATTTGCCGTCAGCTCGTCATCAATTCCTCAGGTGGAAGTGTCAATTACACCTGGGTGTACCTGATCTCCTTGCCCCCCCCCCCCTTCCCACGACTTTGTTTACCTTGCCAACTCCGTCAACACATTTGGAATGCCAAGGTCTCCAACGCTACCTTTTCCCTCCACCCGCACAACGTACCGCCATTCAGGTGGGGGGGGGGGGAGAGACCTCTGGCACCATTCAACCCCCCCCCCCCCCCACCCCCCACAGCGTCGCGCTATTCAGGTGGGGGGGGGGAGAGACCTCTGGCACCATTCAACTCCCCCCCCCACCCCCACAGCGTCGCGCCATTCAGGTGGGGGGGGGGGCTCTGGCACCATTCAACTCCCCCCCACCCCCACAGCGTCGCGCCATTCAGGTGGGGGGGGGGGCTCTGGCACCATTCAGCGCCTGCTTGCGTCAAGTCACTCCTACTTTCTCCAACTCTCTAATGACGTACACGGCTAACGGCCGGTTGAGAGAGGGAGGGAGGAGGGGGGTATATCGTCTGCCTATTCACATCGAGTGACGTACTGAGGGAAACAGTCAACTAACCGTATCACGTGACCCGGGGAAGTATTTCTCCTACCCACGGCGTCGCCTGGCCTGTTTCGACAACTGGAGCCAGTCAGCGAGTGGTCGGGATTAAGTCACGTCACAGTACCGGCAGTTGACCAGTTGGTGTTGGTTGAGTCGCTGTGTGTACATAGGATATCACAACATCAGGTAAGCTGTCAGCTGTCGTGGTTGCTGTTGTTCTATCAGCTGTGGTGGTTGCTGTTGTTCTATCAGCTGTGGTGGTTGCTGTTGTTCTAACAGCTGTGGTGGTTGCTGTTGTTCTATCAGCTGTGGTGGTTGCTGTTGTTCTATCAGCTGTGGTGGTTGCTGTTGTTCTATCAGCTGTGGTGGTTGCTGTTGTTCTATTAGCTGTGGTGGTTGCTGTTGTTCTATTAGCTGTGGTGGCTGCTGTTGTTCTATCAGCTGTGGTGGTTGCTGTTGTTCTATCAGCTGTGGTGGTTGCTGTTGTTCTATTAGCTGTGGTGGTTGCTGTTGTTCTGTCAGCTGTGGTGGTTGCTGTTGTTCTGTTAGCTGTGGTGGTTGCTGTTGTTCTATCAGCTGTGGTGGTTGCTGTTGTTCTATCAGCTGTGGTGGTTGCTGTTGTTCTATCAGCTGTGGTGGTTGCTGTTGTTCTATCAGCTGTGGTGGTTGCTGTTGTTCTATCAGCTGTGGTGGTTGCTGTTGTTCTGTCAGCTGTGGTGGTTGCTGTTGTTCTATTAGCTGTGGTGGTTGCTGTTGTTCTGTCAGCTGTGGTGGTTGCTGTTGTTCTGTTAGCTGTGGTGGTTGCTGTTGTTCTATCAGCTGTGGTGGTTGCTGTTGTTCTATCAGCTGTGGTGGTTGCTGTTGTTCTATCAGCTGTGGTGGTTGCTGTTGTTCTATCAGCTGTGGTGGTTGCTGTTGTTCTATCAGCTGTGGTGGTTGCTGTTGTTCTGTCAGCTGTGGTGGTTGCTGTTGTTCTATCAGCTGTGGTGGTTGCTGTTGTTCTATCAGCTGTGGTGGTTGCTGTTGTTCTATTAGCTGTGGTGGTTGCTGTTGTTCTATTAGCTGTGGTGGTTGCTGTTGTTCTATTAGCTGTGGTGGTTGCTGTTGTTCTATTGGCTGTGGTGGTTGCTGTTGTTCTATTAGCTGTGGTGGTTGCTGTTGTTCTATCAGCTGTGGTGGTTGCTGTTGTTCTATTAGCTGTGGTGGTTGCTGTTGTTCTATTAGCTGTGGTGGTTGCTGTTGTTCTATTGGCTGTGGTGGTTGCTGTTGTTCTATTAGCTGTGGTGGTTGCTGTTGTTCTATCAGCTGTGGTGGTTGCTGTTGTTCTATCAGCTGTGGTGGTTGCTGTTGTTCTATCAGCTGTGGTGGTTGCTGTTGTTCTATCAGCTGTGGTGGTTGCTGTTGTTGTATCAGCTGTGGTGGTTGCTGTTGTTCTATCAGCTGTGGTGGTTGCTGTTGTTCTATCAGCTGTGGTGGTTGCTGTTGTTCTATCAGCTGTGGTGGTTGCTGTTGTTCTATTAGCTGTGGTGGTTGCTGTTGTTAGTTTTCTGTTCTTTATCTAACTAATTTTATTTCGCCGGTTATACGTGGTTGAGGGGGGGGGGGGGGGGGGGGTGTGAAACGGACCGGGTTGTTGCTGGTTGCCATGTGAAGTTGTAAATGTTGTAAATGTTGTAAATGTGAAGTTGTAGTTTTCAACTGAAATTCACATCCAGTTCATACTCTCTGGTCAGATTCTGGTAATTAAATTTTGAAATAATATTTTTTTTTAACTTCAACTCAGTAACCTGCATGCGGACATGCTGAAGTCAAATCTTATTAAATGAGTAAAGAAATAGTTAAACTATTGAGTAAATAAATAGACAATATTTAAGTTCAACGATTGAGTAAATAATTAGACAATATTATTTAACTTCAACGATGTTCAGTTCTTTTCTTTCGGGATCTTAAAAATAATGGAAATATTATTTTTTAGTTGTAAGTTCGAAAAAAATTCTGTTTTTGTTTTAAAAAAAAAAACGACAGTTTAAATTGTCGATGAAATACCATAATATTTTTAAATTTTTTATTTAAATTGTACGGTAAAATTAAAGATAGAGGACACACTTAGAAGACACATTTACAAAACGTAAAATTTGACACATATTTACATGATGGAAATTTACAGAAAACTTTAGAAGATGCAAGTTTCCAATACACAACTTTACAAAACTAAGAGTTACTCAAAACTCATTTACACAACACTAATTTACACACCATTAATTAACACAAAATTAATTTGCACAAAAATAATTTACACAGCATTAATTTACACTAAAAGTAATTTACACAACAATAATTTACACAACACAAATTAACAGGTCACAAATATAAAAATACAATTTTACAGAATAAATTACAAAACAAATCTACAAGACACATACTTACAGGACCAAAATAAAAGACACAACATTAAGCTCACAACATTATTAACCACAAATTTAAAATACACACATTTAAAAACCACAAATTTACAGCACACATTTTAAAAAATTCAAATGTATAAAACACGGGAGAACAATTTAAAAACACTTTACAATATATTTTCTGAACACATTATGTTGGACGTATGTCAGTACGTAACTGATATCTCAAGTGCGCTGGGTCGCTTCGCCTTTACCATTTTAGAATGTTGGTTGTCATAAAATGAACAGTTTTAAGCTCATAAAGCGCTTTATATAGGTTTATAACCGTGTTTGTGACGTACGTGTGTTTGTGTGCGTGTGTACGGGGAACAATTTTTAACCAACCCCCCTTTCCCCCCCCCCCTCCCACATGACGAATTACTGCATGAGCCACAACAGAGTACTCAAACTCAAATCCTGCTATATATAACTACACCACGACTACGCAATTATAAAACACCACAACAATCACACAATTATACAACTGCAAAACAGATCCACAATAATATTACACAACAACACAACTCCACAATTATACAACAACACAACTCCACAATTATACAACAACACAACAACTTCACACTTATACAGCAACACAATAAATCCACAAGTATACAACAACACAATCATACAACAACACAACTACACAAGTATACAACTACAACCTATATAGCTACACAAATGCACAAAACGGAAGTAGTAGGCTACAAATGTAATATACACATTTAAGTTTAAACTTTGTCAATGAAACCCAAGATAAAGCCATGACGAACAAAAGAAACACACCAAGATAATGTGGTAAAGATGGTGTTCACGGCTGTCTCAATGTAAACTCTTGTCATGTTGTTGTTAGTTCTGGAACCATTTCTTGTCATGTTGTTGTAAGTTCTGGAACCATTTCTTGTCATGATGTTGCTAGTTCTGGAACCATTTCTTGTCATGTTGTTGTTAGTTCTGGAACCATTCCTTGTCATGTTGTTGTTAGTTCTAGAACCATTTCTTGTCATGTTGTTGTTAGTTCTGGAACCATTTCTTGTCATGATGTTGTTAGTTCTGGAACCATTTCTTTTCATGTTGTTAGTTCTGGAACCATTTCTTGTCATGTTTTTGTTAGTTCTAGAACCGTTTCTTTGTGATCAACGCTGTTCTTTTGTAAGAATTATGCCAAGTTTTATTTGGTCTTGTAGGTTTATAAATAAAATTTCATCCACTAGCAACATTATCTTTAGGGTATCCAATAGTTTCTTAAATTACTCATCATTATATAGTGGCCTACTTTCCCTTTTTTTTCGTATCGAATTTTATTGACATTTTATATTTTATTGTTTCCTATTGGTCAATACTCTTTAATTGAGTTTTAGGTCTCATGGTCAATAATGATTTTCATTGATTAATTGAGAGGTCATATAACTGTTACACTCACTGTTTTTTTCATAGCTCTAATAGTCCTCTTCCGTAGATACTTTTTTACTTGAATTTTGTTGCTTCGTTTTTTAATAAAGGCTTTTACTTTACTCTGATAAAATATAACATTTTTATTGGTTAGTTACTAACACGAATTAGGCTGTACTATCAAAGCGGTATGTACGGGATCACAGTTGTTTATTAATTTATTACAATTAGTAATAGGGTGTGATAGTAGCAGTAGTATTGTTATTGTTATTATTATTATTAATATTATTAATAGTGGCACCTATAGTGAACTCATTTGTCTATTTAAAATAAATTAAACACGTGTATATATAGAAATATAAACTGGTTGAATTAAAGATCAACGATTTCAAATCTAACATGCTTGTAAAAAAAACTACTAGTTTGGACTTAGGAAAATGGTTTTATATCATTAAGAGATGTTCAACATGGTATATTCTTCAGTCAGTTATTTTGTTCTTTATGCTATCGTCAGTCATTTTGTCAATTTCTGTATACAAATCAGTTAAGGCCGTATTTCGTACTCTGTCAAGAAACTATAAGCTCTGAATCTCATCACAGAATATCATGTTACAATCTCATGACAGAATCTCATGACAGAATCTCATGACAGAATCACATTACAGAATCTCATTGCACAAATTCTTACAAACTTATTCTTCGTCCATATATTTCATTTAACATTTCTATTGTAGTACAAGCACAAAGGTTTACCCATTCGTACTAGAATCTGGCCCGTAGATCGGAAATCGTACATTGACATCGAAGATCGATGGCTTCTACTACATGAATACCTACAACTACGCGCGCATATATATATATATATATATATATATATATATATATATATATATATATCTTCAAATAAAAATATCAGCTTCAAAATCTTTACCGCCATTTTAAACAGAGCCTAAAAACTTTTTAATAACTTGGTAATGATTTTTAAAAAATTAATTAATGATAATTAAAGAAACTAATATACAAATTTTATTTTTCAGATAATTTCATCAGAAAAACAATGGGAATAACACACGCAATGGAATTGTTGCTGGTTTTTCTACTTGGATTAGGTAAGTGTTGGTTGTGATATACACTTTAGTTACCCAAAATATAGTAATAAAATATATACATATATTTTGCTCTATTTATTGCGACAATATTGTAACACCAATAGCGACAATTTTCTTGTTTTTATTTCGATCGAATCGAAACAGCAGGCTTGTCACGGCCTTAGAAAAATTTTCGGTTTTCTCAATACATGTTAATGGATATGTGGTTGCTTGTAGCTGTTAAATATTTGCATAGATTGAAAGTCTAACTCTCGTGATTGGAAGTTATTGAATAGACAGAGTCTAGCTCTCATGATTGGGAGTAAAAAAAAAAATTGAATAGACTAAGCCCTTGAGCCAGTGGGATATTTGTATGAAGGCTTATGTTAATGGACTGTTCAAATAATAATCTCCAAGAATAAAGATGCAGTGTGTGAATGAATCGATCTTTGAAAGATTTCACACACGTAGTATGTATGCAATCTTTGATAAAACAAGTATTAAAAAAATCTTTAAAATAAAAAAAAAAGACGCACTAAAATAAGACATTAAATGTACATTTTCTAGCTATCATGGTAGAAAGCGTAGGTCGCTGTGTAGATATACTAAACGACCAACGCTTTTAGCTTTACTTATATAACTAAAGATCTAGGCGTATTCTTAACTTTAACCCATGCTAAAACCATGACTTAATCTTAACTCTGACCTTGATACAAGTTCTAACTCAAAATTCTGACATCGATACTGGCATGAAAAAAACTTCATATCGTGTTACCGTAGAACATGGTAACAACAATAATATTATGTACCCACTGTCACTATCTGTAACAACAATAATATTATGTACCCACTGTCACTATCTGTAACAACAATAATATTATGTACCCACTGTCAATATCTGTAGCAACAATAATATTATGTACCCACTGTCAGTATCTGTGACAGCAACAAAATTAGGTAACCCATCCAACTATCTGTAACTAAGATAATATCCGGTGTCTATATGACTATCTGCCCAGCAATGCTATACACTATACAGATAACAATGATATACGACCAACGCGAAAGTATTTGGTCAATATTGATCTAACAAGATATGGTGATCGATAGACATTGATGATCTCTTAAGCCATCAATACAAACAATCAATCATTTTATGTTTACTAGTGGCGATCTATCGCCGAGAATGTCATACACATTTTTACGTTTATTTTATCTTAGTCCATTCATAGCTCCAACACTGTTTTTTTAAGCCTTCATCTGTTCATTTGTTTAAACTGTTCCCTCATATGTGTCTAGCTATCTCTTATCTGCTGTTCATAGGCTGTTCTTAGGTCTTTACTTGTAGGTAGGTCTTTATCTTCCCGTGGGCCTTTGGATATTTCTTTAATTTATCATTGTGTAAGAAATGCTTATTTTTCTTCGTTCTCGATTTTACTATTGAAGGAGCTATCATCCAACACAATCAAGCATTACTTGTCATACTGCCCGCTTTTCTTTCTAGATTTGCATCCATAGCCTTTACCCACCCAAGAACAAACTACAAGGCAGTAGCTGTTTGATTTTTGAGTTTTCTCTGCTAGAGGGGTTATTGTACCAGTCTAAAGAGCCTCGTATGCCAGGAGTTTCCAACTCAGGACTTTGGAGTTAGCAATAATAACTACTTCCCTTGTATGATGCTAGACATGTGTAGCCTATAGTCAGCATATATATATATATATATGTATATATATATATATATATATATATATATATATATATATATATATATATATATATATATATATATATATATATATATATATATATATAGCCCTCGCTCACAATTCCATCTTTTACATCGCCCCCAACCTTTACACAAACACAAAGTTTTGTGTTGTCAACCTTCACCCCAACCCACCCCCGCCAGGCACCGAACAAATATGGAAATCTTTTATGAAGAAACGGCCCGAGGGTACCCAGATTATTGGCATACCGTCGTGCTCTCTCGACTATATGGTTGCTAGGCTACAGCGTCCATCAACACAAGACGCCCCACAATGCAACTCTCCATAGTTCAAACCCACTCTACAGAGGTCTGGTTAGGTCAACTTAGCTAAAACAAGGACATTTTTAGGACATCTCGAAGACATTTGTAGGACATCTCAGAGACTGAAGAAGTCGTGTTTAAGTCGATTACTGACAGAACGGAACCGATTCTTTATTTGATTAACGGAAATCGGTTATTTGTTAGTCGATTATAAACAAGGAATCGATTTATGGAAGAAAAAAAATGTTATCAGTGAATCAGCAGATAAGGGTATAAAAGTAGTAATTAGAGAGGTGTTGTAGAAAACTAGACGTCAACGGCCGCTCCGCTCCCCCACCCCCACCCACCCCACACAGTAGTGACCAACCCTTAATTAACATTGTACACCAGCAGAGCCAGAAACCACCTAGCGCTTGCTAACGTTAAGGCTAGATCTACATAGTATGTTACATTCTTAGCTGGATTTGTTTCGTTGGTTTTTAATTTTCAAAAAAAAATATTGTATAATATTTGACTGTGGTTTATGTTACTTGTAATGTTAATCTTACTTCCTCCATCGTTAATCTTCCTTCTGCCATACAATCTATATATATATAAAGCAATGTATGTCTGTGTGTTTGTGTGTCCTTTATGCATTACTACACCTCTCATCACATCGCCGTGAAACTTTGGGAAGTTGTTGAGAATATTCCTGGGGAGGTTTCTGCGAAAAAAAATATTTCAAATTCTCAGTGGTGGCGCCCCGGTAGGGCGCGATTTGTTTTTCTCTATATACCGTATATAAAAATAATAAAAGTGAATTGCAGTGACACTGTTCACACGATCGCCATGAAACTTTAGGAAGTTGTTGAAAATATTCCTGGGGAGGTTTCTGAGAATTTTTTTTTTTAAATTCGCAGGGGTGGCGCCCCGAGAGGGCGCGATTTGTTTTTTTCTATTTACGGTATATAAAACTAAAAGTCGATTTTGGTTTGGCATCATTCATCCAATAGCCATGAGACTTTGGGGAGTTCATTATACCACTCTAGGGAAGGGTTCTGTAAAAAAATAATTTTTAATTTCGCAAGGGCGGCGCCACGGGAGGGTCCGATTTTTCTCTATATACGGTATATAAAAATAATAAAAGTGAATTGCAGTGACACCATTCATCCTATAGGCATGAAACTTTGGGGGTGTTGATTATGACACTCTGGGGAAGGGTTCTGTAAAAAAATCATATTTAATTTCGCAAGGGCGGCGCCACAGTAGGGTGCGATTTTTCTCAATATACGGTATATAAAAATAAAAGTCTATTTTGATTTCCCACTGTTCATCCGATAGCCATGAGACTTTGGGGAATTCATTATACCACTCTAGGGAAGGGTTCTGTAAAAAAAATATTTTTTTATTTCGCAAGGGCGGCGCCACGGGAGGGTCCGATTTTTCTCTATTTACGGTATATAAAAAGAATAAAAGTGAATTGCAGTGACACCGTTTATCCGATAGGCATGAGACTTTGGGGAGTTCATTATAAAACTCCAGGGAAGGGTTCTGTAAACAATAATTTTTAATTTCGCAAGGGCGGCGCCACGGGAGGGTGCGATTTTTCTCTATATTTGGTTTATAAAACAAGTCGATTTTGGTGTGACACCGTTATCCGATAGCCATGAGACTTTGGGGGAGTTGATTAGAACAATTCAGGGAAGGGTTCTGTAAAAAAAATCCTTTATTAATTTCGCAAGGGCGGCGCCACGGGCGGCTGCGATTTTTCTCTATATACGGTTTATAAAATTTCGTTGTTTTTTTCGTTTTCACACCGTTCATCCGTGTACCATGAAACTTTGGGGAGATTATTAGATCACTCAATGGTAGGGTTCTGTAAAAAATATTGTTTAATATTGCAAGGGCGGCGCACCACCGGGGGGGGGAGCGATTTTTTTTCTCTATATACGGTTTATAAAAAATAAAACTCGGATGCGGTTCATCCGAGTACCATGAAACTTTAGGAAGTAGATGAGAATACTCCCGAGAATATTTCTGCGAAAAAGAAAACTAAAGTTTCTTACGGGCGGCACCATATAGGGTACAACTTTCGTCAATACACGGTTTGGCGCCCAGAGTTTTAGAGGTCCTGTATAGCGAGTAAGGGGTACTACTATATTCAGCGGTAAAACTATAACAGGCTTCTAAAAATAACTTTGTAACGCGAGGAAATCCTGTACAGTTTCGTCACCTTGCGAAAGATGAAAAAATAAATGTTTGAATATGAGGAACCTACTGTAGAGTTTCGTCACTTTGCGAATGATGCAATAAGCATCTATTATTAGACGATCCAGGCCGAAATTGAGACCGAGCATCTAATAATAGACCACTAGTAACGCTAGCATATTGCATCAGTCGAACTGATGTTTAAAACACGTCAAATAATTTTTTTATGTGTTAAAGAAAAAAATCCTGTTCATTTGTGTCACTTTAGCGAATGACGAAATCTGCATCATTGTTTACAGGATGCTATTTGGCACGCTGGGTTATCCTATGAGCACGATGGCGCCTGTTAGTTTTAAGGAGCCAGGGGCCTTACGCTGCGCCTCCGCGGTAGTGTAATCGGGGGGTGGGGAGGTGGGGGCTCCTGAGAGCGCCCCTCTACGTTCCTGACATATGGGTGGTCACTGAAGTGTGTTCTACCTAATTATTTCGGTGAGTGATTAATATACACTCAAGATTTTCATGCGGTAGTGTAGGAAAACCCGTGTCCCGATAATTATTATCCAAGCGCAGGCAATGTTGACATTTAAATAACACAGTTTTAGAAAACAAGGTGATGCGTCTAAGAACATATGATTGGTAATGCATTGGTGATATCCTTCTAATATATTTCGTCAGACTTTATTCTATCCCCGCGGCAACGCGCGGGGGACGGGTACGCTAGTATAATATATAAACCACGTCTAGATAGAGTATCAACGTGCCAATGGGAATAAACCACGTGAAAAATCTGGCATAAATGTGTTGTACCAGTTTGTGGAGATTTCGGACTTCGGTCCTGGCTATAGGCCTACATCTAATTGGTTAGTTGTCTAAACTCGGACATACCCCGCTTAATCTAGCCTGATGTGTTAAGCAGTCTGAATAGTTATGAAGCGATCAATTTAGCCGGTTATATTAAGCCATTAAAATGGGTTTGAAAAGACAACCATAGCCGGCTAAATTTAGCCGTTAGCGTCACTGGCAAGGTTTGATGAAGCTTGCCATAGTTAGCATTGTCCGCGGTGTCAGTTAGACTTGCACTCAATGGCTTGATCGAACAAATTTTAAGGGTCACGAACTCCGGTCAATCATTTTTTGTATATCCACGCTCACGGACAATCGTCTTTTAAATGCTAATCCTGGTCACACAACCCTGTCAGAGGTTCTTTTGAGACTGTCTTATTTAACCCAGTGAAAGGTCAGCGTGACCGAGATAACTCTGGAACCACCCTGGTGTCAGACCGTGACCGCGAACGTCAAATCAAAATTTTGACGTGAAAGATACGCGTCTAAGACGTTCGTCTGTATCGTTCATTCAAAACTAAACATTCTTAGATCAATGCGATAACCCCTGCGACCCCAAAAAGGGGGGGGGGGGGTAGCCAGTCACTTACTACCTTGACACCTACATACAGTAAAAGGGAAAACCAGCAGAGCTACAGCAACCGAAAACAGCTTCCGCCCAACAGAAACACAAACTCGCATGTCTGAATGATAAACTGATACAGGATTCTTAAACCCTGATTACGATTGTTTACATTTCCGCTGCCCGTAGCAACCGCACGCTAAATCTATAAATAAACACACGGTAACGGCGTTTATTTCTGCGGTTAACTGGCGTCACGAGAAATTTGACTGTTCTATTATCCTGGTGGGTGCGTTGGTCAGGTTTTTATGCCGTTTTGAGTCAAACAGTTTTTGCGTGTATGAAAGAATCAACAATAAGGGGAGGGAATCACGGGTAAACTTACGTCATATGACCAGTGCATTCAAACAACAACAGCTTTTTATTTCCTTTAGTGATTGAAGTTAATTGAAATTCCAGCTCGCTGTCCCGTACTTTAGATCTAGTATTATTTAAATGATTTGTTATTTTTAATTCCAGTCGTTTTTTGTTTGTTTGTTTGTTTGTTTGTTTGTTTGTTTGTTTTTGTCTCCGTGATATGACGTTTAAAAGGCTTTAAACTGTGGAACGAAATCGTGGTTGCTTTGAGAAAGTTTTACCGAAATGTCCTGGTGTAAAACACTTTAGGAAAATAAACAATAACTAGTCGAGAATTCTCTTATTTATGAATATGAAGATAAGGGCGGAGGGGCTAGAAGTAGGCGTGGTGGCACAAATGTAATATTTCTCTTGTTTATTATAGTATTTAATGTTTTATTGTCTATTTGAATTTAACTGAAACAGAAGAAAACGAGAGCACACAAAACCAACAAAAAACAAACTAAACCACCATACATATCCCAATCACATACTGTCACATAATCACATAACGGCTAACACCAGACAAGGCAAACAATTTTGTACAACACAACCAGCCATCAGAAGACTTGACCAGACTTTGTTTCTCCACAGTTCCCGCCATCTTGTGCGGGCAGACGTGTTCCTTCACTCAAAGTTCGACAACCTACTCGGTCTTCTGCGAGAACGGCTGCTGCAGCAATGCCTGTTGTAAGACCAGCACGGTCGAGTGAGTACTGTAAACCTTCCATTTTACATCTCATCGTGTTTTTTATTTCAATTTTTAGAGGGGGGCGGGGCGGGTGTCTTTTGTAATTGTTATGTCTTTTAATAGAGTACAGTAAACCTTTCATTTTATACGTCCTCGTGTTTTTTCGTGTTTATTTATTTTATTTTATTTTATTTTTTATTTCTTTTTTTTTTTGGGGGGGGGGGGGGTGCCAACTGTAATTGTTAAGTCTTTGCATGTTCAAATGAATACAGTAAACCTTTCATTTTACACGTCCTCGCGTTTCTTGTTGGGGAGAGGGCGGAGAGGCTTGTGTGCTGTAATTGTTCTGTTTTTGACACTGATTAAATTTTTTGTAGTAAATCTTCTATGTCTACTGGCGCTTTGATTAAATTACTGGTTTAAATAGAAAATCCTTTATGTCTACAGTACTGACGCTTTGATTAAATTCTTGGTTTAAAGTGTAAATCTTCTGTCTACAGTACTGACACTTTGATTAAATTCTTGGTTTAAAGAGTAAATCCTTTATGTCCACAGTACTGACGCTTTGATTAAATTCTTGGTTTAAATAGAAAATCCTTTATGTCTACAGTACTGACACTTTGATTAAATTATTGATTTAAATAGAAAATGTTTAATGTCTACAGTACTGGCGCTTTGATTAAATTCTTGGTTTAAATAGAAATTTTTTAATGTCTACAGTACTGACGCGGTGGCCATCGGAGTGTCGGTCGCCCTAGCCCTTCTCCTCCTCATTCTGCTCATCATACTTATTGTCTACTGCTACAAGAAGAGGAAGAACAAGAAGAAAGATTGGGATGAGAATAGTACGACGACAAACGACAACACCGTCGTGCTCTATAGTAAGTCATTAGGTAGCTCGCTGGTCGTGCTCTTTAGTAAGTCGTGTCTTGATTAATAATAATGTCAAGATACTTTTATATCGTCAAAAATGTGGGCCTATATTCAACATGTCTCTAGAAAATAAAACTCTTCACATTATTATCAATGACAAAAAAAATATTAAGTTAAACTTTTTTATAATATGATATTCAATACTAGCAACAAGTTGTTTTATTGATCGCGATATTCAATACTAGCAATAAGGTGGTTTGTTGAGCTTATTTCAACATCATTCCACGTGACCGTATGCGCTAACTGTTGTATTTCCTCTCTGTTGTTTTGTTGAACTTATCTCAACATCATCCCACGTGACCGTACGCGCTAACTGTTGTATTTCCTCTCTGTTGTCTTGTTGAACTTATCTCAACATCATCCCACGTGACCGTATGTGCTAACTGTTGTATTTCCTCTCTGTTGTTTTGTTGAACTTATCTCAACATCATCCCACGTGACCGTATGTGCTAACTGTTGTATTTCCTCTCTGTTGTTTTGTTGAACTTATCTCAACATCATCCCACGTGACCGTATGTGCTAACTGTTGTATTTCCTCTCTGTTGTTTTGTTGAACTTATTTCAACATCATACCACGTGACCGTATGCGCTAACTGTTGTATTTCCTTCTCTGTTGTTTTGTTGAACTTATCTCAACATCATACCACGTGACCGTATGCGCTAACTGTTGTATTTCCTCTCTGTTGTTTTGTTGAACTTATCTCAACATCATACCACGTGACCGTATGCGCTAACTGTTGTATTTCCTTCTCTGTTGTTTTGTTGAACTTATCTCAACATCATCCCACGTGACCGTATGTGCTAACTGTTGTATTTCCTCTCTGTTGTTTTGTTGAACTTATCTCAACATCATCCCACGTGACCGTATGTGCTAACTGTTGTATTTCCTCTCTGTTGTTTTGTTGAACTTATTTCAACATCATACCACGTGACCGTACGCGCTAACTGTTGTATTTCCTCCTCTGCCCACAGACATGCCGACCAGAAAGACGGCAAAAGTGGCGGCAATCAAAAGCGACTTCTACGAGACGACCAAATACACCCAGACAGGGGAGCCGACTCCCCCCTACCGAGAGAAAGTTTTCTTCGGCCGCTCCAACCGCTGGAAGCTCAAGAAGAACCAGATCCACCGACGCCGTCTACCGTCCAACACGGGCGAGAAGTCTACTCAGACCCCGGGGAACCAACCCACCATGATCCGGCCCGCCCAGCCGCCCGCCCCCGTCACGCCCTATCTAGAAGAAGTCGTCACCATCCCGGAGAAGTCGAGCCAAACATCCGCCCAGCCTAAAAACAAAGGCGCCCCGCCCGGGTCGAAGCTGTACGACCCCAACCGTGTGGCCAGAGATAAAACCAAGCAGGGCTACAGCGCCTCGTGGGCCGCTCACCCTCCCTGGCAACACCACACCAACCAGCGGAGTTTGGACCAGACGCAGCCCAAACCGTTAGACACCTACGCCAACTTCGGCTCGGCGGACGTGGAGCCGTACTCCACCTCGGAGCTGGGCCACTACCGGTACGACAGTGACGTCATCGAGAACCAGGGCAGCAGCCGGTCGTCCATGACCTTCGTCAGGCCGCGGTCACTCAACGGTTACGACTAAATCCTGTTTCAAACATCTCCTATCACGCATTACAAAAACTAGATAAACAGCTTATCAACAGCTAGGATAAAGAGATTCTTTAATTAAAACATGTGTTTATGACTGATGAATGGTTTAGAATAATATTGTGACGCCGTACATCTGTACTAGTGTAATGTTCTGTAAAGGCGAAACCAAGGGGTGCGTGGGAGCGTACACCCCCCAACCTATTGTAATGGTTCTGGCTCAGATATTTCCTGAGTTAATTACACAGCTCCTGAATCTGCTATCAGCTTTCGACATTAATTTATTCATGTGAACTTTGAACAATGGTCAGAAAACCATTTCTGACAAACAAACTAACCAGTGGCCAAACACCTGCCCAGAGTTTCCAACAACCTCACCTGGACCTTGACCTAATTTCTAGCCAATCGTCGGTAGGGATACTAATCGATGCCATTGTTTATAACCAGCACAGATGGGCATCAAACAAGCCACTGTTTAATCAAGCTGTTGTTGACCTCGTCGTAGCCTGTTTTTGTTACAAGAAAATATCTGATAACATGACTTTTTCAATCTGTCCACCAGCGGTGTAGCTACCCACACTGTTGTCCTGTCATAGCTACACCTGTTGCTGTCCTGTCATAGCTACCCATTGTTGCTGTCCTGTCATAGCTACCCATTGTTGTTGTCCTGTCATAGCTACCCACATTGCTGTCCTGTCATAGCTACAATTGTTGCTGTCCTGTTATAGCTACCCATTGTTGTTGTCCTGTTATAGCTACCCACGTTGCTGTCCTGTCATAGCTACCAACGTTGCTGTCCTGTCATAGCTACACCTGTTGCTGTCCTGTCATAGCTACCCACATTGTTGTTGTCCTGTCATTGCTACCAACGTTGTTGTCTTGTCATAGCTACCCACGTTGTTGTCCTGTCATAGCTACCCATTGTTGTTGTCCTGTCATTGCTACCAACGTTGTTGTCTTGTCATAGCTACCCACGTTGTTGTCCTGTCATAGCTACCCATTGTTTCTGTCCTGTCATAGCTACCCATTGTTGCTGTCCTGTCATAGCTACCCATTGTTGCTGTCCTGTCATAGCTACCCATTGTTGTTGTCCTGTCATTGCTACCAACGTTGTTGTCCTGTCATAGCTACCCACATTGCTGTCCTGTCATAGCTACAATTGTTGCTGTCCTGTTATAGCTACCCATTGTTGTTGTCCTGTTATAGCTACCCACGTTGCTGTCCTGTCATAGCTACCAACGTTGCTGTCCTGTCATAGCTACACCTGTTGCTGTCCTGTCATAGCTACCCACATTGTTGTCCTGTCATAGCTACCCATTGTTGTTGTCCTGTCATAGCTACCCATTGTTGCTGTCCTGTCATAGCTACCCATTGTTGTTGTCCTGTCATTGCTACCAACGTTGTTGTCTTGTCATAGCTACCCACATTGCTGTCCTGTCATAGCTACAATTGTTGCTGTCCTGTTATAGCTACCCATTGTTGTTGTCCTGTCATAGCTACCCACATTGCTGTCCTGTCATAGCTACAATTGTTGCTGTCCTGTTATAGCTACCCATTGTTGTTGTCCTGTCATAGCTACCCACGTTGTTGTCCTGTCATAGCTACCCACGTTGTTGTCCTGTCATAGCTACCCATTGTTGCTGTCCTGTCATAGCTACCCATTGTTGTTGTCCTGTCATAGCTACCCACGTTGTTGTTGTCCTGTCATAGCTACCCACGTTGCTGTCCTGTCATAGCTACCCACGTTGTTGTCCTGTCATAGCTACCCATTTATTTTTCCCCAACCTCTTAAGGATTTGATAGATAAATGTTGTCATGTACGAAGGATCAACTGCAGCTTATGTGAGTCGGTTTGACATCAATACATTTTTCCCGTCAAACATCTATGGTTTTACAATAATAGTGAACCTGCGTAACTTGATGTAGACGTTTGTATTTATAAAGATGAATGGATTTACAAATGGCAGTTTTTTAAATGTAAATATGGTCTATTGAGCAGTGAGAAAATTGAAATATTTAAGCAAAATGTGATATATTTAATCATGATATAATGTTATTTTTTAAAACGTATTAAATGTGTGATATATTTATACAAATTAAATGTGATATTTATATTTTTTTATATAGATATCTGCACCTCACTATGTTAAAAAAATATTATAATGATTACATCCTTAAATGGTTGTTAAACGTCATTTTATGTAATCAGTTGTCCAGATTACGTCATGTTTCCTGTACAGAGGCGTAGCGAGGGGGGGGGCGGGGGGGACATATGTCCCCGGGCGCCGACCTTAGGGGGGGGCGCCAAATTGAAAGTTTGAGGGGGGGGGGGGTGCAAATGAAAAGTTCGAGGGGGGGTGCAAATCGAAAGTTTGAGGGGGGGGGTGCAAATGAAAAGTTCGAGGGGGGGGGTGCAAATCGAAAATTTGCTCCCGAGGGGGGCGCCAAATTGAAAGTATGTCCCCGGGCGCCGGGAAGGGTCGCTACGCCTCTGTTCCTGTAATCACCTGTCTAGATTACGTCATGTTTCTTGTAATCACCTGTCTAGATTACGTCATATGTTCTTTACTCAACTGTCTAGAATACGTCATGTTTCTTGTAATCACCTGTCTAGATTACGTCATATGTTCTTTACTCAACTGTCTAGAATATGTCATGTTTCTTGTAATTAGTTGTCCAGATTACATCATGTTTCCTGTAATCACCTGTCTAGATTACGTCATATGTTCTTTACTCAACTGTCTAGATTACGTCATATGTTCTTTACTTAACTGTCTAGAATACGTCATGTTTCTTGTAATCACCTGTCTAGATTATGTCATATGTTCTTTACTCAACTGTCTAGATTACGTCATATGTTCTTTACTCAACTGTCTAGATTACGTCATGTTTCCTGTAATCACCTGTCTAGATTACGTCATGTTTCCTGTTATCCAAGTGTCCACCTTGAGCAACCCCTGCTCACATTGTGGCAGTCAGTGTATGTTTGTTATACAATTTGTTAACTTAATGTGTATGTTTGTTATACAGTTTGTTAACTTGATGTGTATGTTTGTTATACAATTTGTTAACTTGATGTGTATGTTTGTTATACAATTTGTTAACTTAATGTGTATGTTTGTTATACAGTTTGTTAACTTGATGTGTATGTTTGTTATACAATTTGTTAACTTGATGTGTATGTTTGTTATACAATTTGTTAACTTGATGTGTATGTTTGTTATACAGTTTGTTAACTTGATGTGTATGTTTGTTATACAATTTGTTAACTTAATGTGTATGTTTGTTATACAGTTTGTTAACTTGATGTGTATGTTTGTTATACAATTTGTTAACTTGATGTGTATGTTTGTTATACAATTTGTTAACTTAATGTGTATGTTTGTTATACAGTTTGTTAACTTGATGTGTATGTTTGTTATACAATTTGTTAACTTGATGTGTATGTTTGTTATACAATTTGTTAACTTGATGTGTATGTTTGTTATACAGTTTGTTAACTTGATGTGTATGTTTGTTATACAATTTGTTAACTTGATGTGTATGTTTGTTATACAATTTGTTAACTTAATGTGTATGTTTGTTATACAACTTGTTATCTTAATGTGAATGTTATACAACTTGTTATCTTATTGTGAATGTTATACAACTTGTTATCTTATTGTGAATGTTATACAATTTGTTAAATTAATGTGAATGTTATACAACTTGTTATCTTAATGCACTTTTTACAATCAAAATGTATTTAATTGAGTGGCCAGACATGCACGATGTGATAAGAAATAAAATTGTTAATATATCTGTTACATTTACTTCATGTTTTTTTATAGACCTACACAGCTCTGTGTGTTTACACACACACACGTACTCACCATCACACAAACACAAGCACACACACATACACACGCACGCACACAAGCACACACTCAAGCACACACACACACTCACACACTCTCATACACACAATCACACACTCACACATACACTCACACACACACACAATCAGACACACATACTCACATGAAGCATGTCCAAATTCTCGAGCATATTTTTTTTAAAAATCAGACCAACAATGAAACTATTATTTATACATTTTATTTTTGCCCCGTTCGTCACTTTCCCTATAAAAATTGGATCTAACTAGGCGAACAGTGAAAGTGAAAAGAAGCGTACACGTGAAATCAAACACGCCTAACGCCATAGCCGGTGTCCCGTGAAATTCGTGCTTAGAAATTCTTCCAGACGCTTTATGCCTTGTCTGCTACCATAAAAAAACTAGTCCCTGAGTCGCAGAGTATGATTATGAATACAGAATTCCTGAGTCGCAGAGTATGAATACAGAATTCCTGAATCGCATACTTTGTTGAAGTAATCCTTCAGCGGTGGGAAGTTTTGAAGTTTTTTTTATGTCTCTAGCTGGACCCCCTGGTGTTGACCACGTGATCCGAAAATATGCAAATCGTGTGGGTCAATACTGACTGACTACGTGTAGTAGACAGCAGTATAAAAAACTTGGCATACATTTTTAGATAATTTTTGTTATTTATTATTTAACAACACATTTTAAATAGTTTTGCTTAATTGAAACAACCCATAATTAGAATACAAAGTCGGCGTTGTCGAGTTGGTAAAGCTCAACACATTCCGAGATGGGGTTGTATAGCTGGGGACAGCAACCTTTCTAGCAGAGACAACACCATAGTCAAACAACTGCTGCCTTATTGTTTATTCTTGGATGGACAAAGGCTGTGGAAGCAAATCTAAAAAGAAAAGCCGGGCTGGGACTAGACAAGGACTTGACAAAGATTAGACAATGTCTTGGACTAGGACTAGACTGGGACTAGACTAGACTAGACTAGACTAGACTAGACTAGACTAGACTAGACTAGACTAGACTAGACTAGACTAGACTAGACTAGACTAGACTAGACTAGACTAGACTAGACTAGACTAGACTAGACTAGACTAGACTAGACTAGACTAGACTAGACTAGACTAGACTAGACTAGACTAGACTAGACTAGACTAGACTAGACTAAACTAGGACTAGGACTAGGACTAGACTAGACTAGACTGTAGACTAGAGATCAAAGGCCACCGATAAACAAACATTCGAGATCACAAAGAAGAATCGAATACGCTATTCAAGACGCACAAATATTTGACTAGCCATAATTCTAGATATTCAGTGAAAAAAACTATGTGCTACGTCATATATTCTTCAAGGGGACATAACATTCACATAACATTCACATAACACAGTAACTGTATTGCTTTTTATTTATATCTTGCAGTACAAACATTGAATGATAATTGCTATCAACTGGGACCATCAAAATCGAGGTTGTTATCACCAGAGTGGCTTCCCCTGCTCCTTAGTAACAGTAAACAAAAGATAAGATGAAGTGGATAGACGTAAGACAGGGGCGACAACCCAAAGACTTTTATATACAACTTTTCCCACACCTTGTTGAGAAGGATTTGTGTACCTTCTATAGCCAGACATATTGAAAACTTGGCCAGTTATTTATAATCCACTTCTATAGAAGGAGATGTTTTTGTAGGACTGCTGATCTGTAACACGTAGATTTGTCTCGTTATTTATGGCCCTACTCAAAGTTTTACATTTGGTGAGATTTTGGCAAATGATTTCAGAATTTCGCAATTAAGAAATGCCTTGTTATGTGTTTATAAATTATGATAATTGATTTTAAGTAGTAGAATTTTTGTCAAGATTTTGAAAATATTTAAATATTTAAACTTCAATGTAACAAGACACCTTTCGGGACCATTAGGCATAGGTCTTAATTTTTTAAAATTAAACACGTCTAACAAATATAAAAAATTATATTAAATTTGAAGTATTAACTTTTTTTTAAAACATAGCTAGGTCAAGAACTTGTAAATAATCGGTTATCAGTAGAATGTAGAATAGACAGCAAACCATAAAACAGTTTACTGAATCCAATTTAAATCTTACATTCTCTATGAAAACGGGAGTTATGGTCCTTGAATAGCTGGTGCGTGATTCGCAACGTAAACTAACTCATGCTCTAAAAATAGCGCGCTTGTCTATTGATAGATTTACCGTTGTATTGATGACACCATTTAACTCGGTAGAAAGAAAGTGGTCGAGTATTGAGGTGAAAAATAAGTTTTATCCTTGGTTTAATGTAAGACAGCTTTAAGGGGCACATAACTATGGGGGGGAGGGGGGGGGGGGGGGGGGTAATGTGACATCGCGCTAAGGTGATTCGGTGTTCTAGTGACACAGATTTAAGGTGACACAGATTTAAGGTGACACTGTGTTGAGGTGACACAGATTTATAGTGACTCAGGACTGAGATGACTCTAGTTACCACGTATTGATTATATTGTAGTAGTTACCACATATTGATTAAATTGTAGTAGTTACCACGTATTGATTACATTGTAGTAGTTACCACGTATTGATTACATTGTAGTAGTTACCACGTATTGATTACATTGTAGTAGTTACCACGTATTGATTACATTGTAGTAGTTACCTCGTATTGATTACATTGTAGTAGTTACCACGTATTGATTACATTGTAGTAGTTACCTCGTATTGATTACATTGTAGTAGTTACCTTGTATTGATTACATTGTAGTAGTTACCTCGTATTGATTACATTGTAGTAGTTACCACGTATTGATTACATTGTAGTAGTTACCACGTATTGATTACATTGTAGTAGTTACCTCGTATTGATTACATTGTAGTAGTTACCACGTATTGATTACATTGTAGTAGTTACCACGTATTGATTACATTGTAGTAGTTACCTCGTATTGATTACATTGTAGTAGTTACCTCGTATTGATTACATTGTAGTAGTTACCTCGTATTGATTACATTGTAGTAGTTACCACGTATTGATTACATTGTAGTAGTTACCACGTATTGATTACATTGTAGTAGTTACCTCGTATTGATTACAGCGTAGTAGTTACCTCGTACTGAGTACATTGTAGTAGTTACCTCTTATTGAGTAGGCTACATTGAAGTTTAGGTAATTTTCACTTAACTGGTAGTGTGTGGTGAAATGTGGAGTGAGGTGTGTGTCTTGTGTGATGAATCATGTAGTTATTTGTTTAGAGTGTGAGGTCAGTTGTGTGTGACTTGTGTAGTTTGTGATGTGCAAGGTGTGGGGTTGTTGTATAGTGTGACGTCACTTATCAAAAACTGAGTTCAAATCTAAACTCGCGTATATTTTA